GCACAGTCTGATACACATTTGCAAACCTACCAATAAAATCGTTACAGAAAACAAGATGTCAGAAAATCAATATAAGCACTCCTATGAAATGGGTGCCTAACTTTGATCAAGATCTGAAGCTAATAGAAAATCTGTTTAGTTCAAAGTTATCAAATCAAAAACAATACATAAAAAATACATTAAAAGCAAAACATTTCATCCACATTTTAAAAAGAAAATTATTCTAAAATATATGTACTCTGTATTTGACAAACAGTTCATTCGACAAATGAAAACTCACAGGAATATGTTTCAGCTATTAGAACAGAATGATAGACTTTTTATAATGCTAGTTTAAAAACGCATTTCAAAGATTGCAGTGTTTGAAGATGTAGATTCTCAGGAGGCAACAGTACTGTTGACTTCTCCCTCCACTGGACACCAACTAACTATTTAAGTTGATTTGCATACAAAGTAGAGCTTGCAACATGATAGCTATTCATAAAGGGTGTTTTTTTTTACTTTTCATAGTCACACAATGAGGCAGTTCATATTTGTCTCAGTGAATCATTAATTTTTGACAGACACCTGTACAAAATACTTGGACCAAAGCCAGCTAAAATGTTCTGTTATCTTGCATGTTTTATGAATCTATTCACATCTAAATGCAGCACTTTTTTTTGCAATGAGACATTTGTTTTTATTCTAAATATCTCAATTACTTTCAATAAAGCTGGAAATTATGTTCCTTAAAATAATTAAACAAATAAGGCACCAATGTTTTTGTAAGATATTTACATCTTTTAAGGACATTCGGTAGACTGATTCCCCACTGTTGGTTCAACCCCAAAACTTGTTTGTATTCAAAATTAATTATGACAATGCATATTCATATTGAAATAAACTATGGTAAAGGGAATTATATTATATAGCAAAGGCAAGGTCACCAGAGTTCAACTATGTTTATATTTTTCAGATCCAATTTAAAATGGCCAACTGGTGGCCATTTTGTTTAATGAATGCAGTTCTAGTGTGCTATATCTCTGCCATGCTTTGACTGATTATGATCAAATTTTATATATTCATTATACATCATGAAATAGATATATTGGTTTGACTATCTGATACAAAATGGCCAAATGGCTGCCATTTTTGTGCTGAAAAATTATAAAAAACAAGCATTTCTGGCATTCCAGAACTGGATCTTGGCGTTTATGGATGGATTTCATTCAAACTTGATACATACATTAGAGATTATGGTTTCCTGGAGCACATCATTTTATTTTTCAGATCGGTTTCAAAATGGCTGACTGGTGGCCATTTTGTTTAAATGAATGCACTTCTAGAGTCATGTTTCATGATATGCTTTGACTGATTATGTTCAAATTTTATATATTCGTTTTACATCCTGTTATAGATATATAGATGTATTAAAAATAGCTGACTCGTGGCCATTTTGCTTTAATTAATGCTGTTCCAGGGCAATATTTCTCAATATGGACAAGTCCTCATTTGATGATCAGATACAAGACGTCAATCATTTTAATGTTACAAAATCATCATAATCAAGCATCATCTTCTGGATCCATATCTCTGACATGTTTATGTTCAAGCTATATCACTATAAACAAAACTATATATCTTAAATTTGATAACTGGGACTGTGCCATGCATGGCTTGTTTATAATGTATTAGTGTGAGACAATTCTGGATGTTGAATGTCACTGTTGTCTCCCCCAATTTGTTTTTTTATTATTTGCAAATTGAAAGTGCTAGTGCTGACACAGAAGCCATATTCATATTTGGAACTACACAAAAGTACTGTGTGGCAAACTCTCTATCAAATGGTAATTTGATGCACTATCCTGGTCAAATAATATATAAAGATATTTTTTTTTTTTGAAAAGGCAAAACAAAGATTTTAAATTTTAACAATGAGATTGTTCTCTATTTTCAGTTCACCTGTATACATGCAGGACTTAGAGAGTACATTACACTATTCATTCCGGCATGAAATACCCATGCATTCCATTCTACAAGGTGAAAAGCTGGATGCTGTGAAGAAATTTGTTGATGTGCTAGCAAAGGTGAGATATCTTTAAATTGTCAGATGGCACTATTTGATTTCAGTATGTCCATACATGTACATATAAAGCTTAGACTGATCATGTTCAAACTTTATATATACAACATACATTGTGTACTCATAGTGTACAAGATGGCTGAATGGCAGCCATTTTATTGTTCAAAATTCATTAAAATCAAGCATTTCTGCTATTCTGAAGCTAGATCTCGGTGGCGTATAGATGAGTTTGGTTCAACCTTGGTATGCACATTAGACATTATGGAACCTTGAGGCTCATCATTTTGTTTTTTCAGATCCGAATGGACGACAGGTGGCCATTCTGATTTAATCAATGCTGGTTCAGAGCTACATTTCTGACATGCCTTGATCAATGTTCAAACTTTAAAAATGCTTCACTCAGCATGTCATACATATCTCTTTACACGTGCACTTGTTTCACAATCCAATGGCCATTCAGCTATTTTAATGTTAAAAATGTATTTTATATATGATTTTCCACATAGAATCTGAGTTTGTTACAATTTGTATTTTAGTAATTTCAATTCAATTTTTACCTTGCCTATATCACCAAAGATGAAAGGGAAAGGTATATTAAGGGGAAAATGTCATCGATGTTGTCGGCGTCGTTGTTAATAATTGTTGTGTGCACAATAACTTTACTAATTCTATTCCAATTTTTTTCAAACTTGGTCACCTTATTCATCAGTATAAAATCTTCCCTTAGTATGAACGATAGATGTCCTGTGTGAAAATATGCAAAAATTGAGAAAATATTCCTATTAAAACAAACTATGATAAAGGAATTAATATTATATAACAAAGGGCAAGGTTACCAGAGTTCAGCTATGTTCTATAGTTTGGTACCAGTGACCTGTTTACTGGAGTTTTTTTTTCAACTACACCAACTTTTCTCAATTGACTTGCTTGCATAAACCAAACACCTCTATAAATAAAGGAAACAAATTTAGTTCGTAGACTGTAAACATCATTAGAATATATACTAGCTGTACTGAGAATATTGTAACCATGGAGATACTTAGAATACTGTAAAACATGTTGAAAAAGCAACATTCAATTTTAGCGGATTGTGGTAAAATGACGTAATAGCGAAATGTTGATTTAGCGAATCTCTCTTGTCATTGTTGATTTCCTGTTTTCACAATACTTGTCTGTCACATGTCGAAACAAATGCACAGTTATCACCTCCATAAAAACAATGAAAAACTGTCAAGTGTAATTAGGAAGCAACCCCCGATTTTTATGTTCTGGATTACTGTATACAAGTCCATTTTGAATTTATAATAAAGTCATTAGTGACATTTTGAATCAGTTCTCTCGCTAAATGCACTAAAAAGACATGCTTGCTGAAAAGACATGTTTTACAGTATTCTACAAGTTATAATTGATTTAAAGTTTTAAAATTGTCTTTCAGTTCCTTTCGTGTTTGTTTCACTTGTCTCCAAGCCCCACAACACCTTTCTTCCTTCACCTCCTTGTAACTCATTTTTACATTTTTTTGTTCCTCTGTAGTTTTTCCCCGGACGATCACAAATTACGAGTTACCTAGAAGAATTAAACTATTGGTTAGAAGACAATGACAGCAGCCAGATCACATCGGATGATTGGTTGGAATACGTCAATGAAAAGTACGACCCAGAAAAGGTATGAGGATGACTTCTTTTCAGTATTTTGTCTAAAGACTGTTGTTGTTTCTATCTGTGCAGGGTTGAGTGGATGCTGTCACATCTGATGATGACAGAATAATTTGTAAACACCATCAATACAGTTTGCATACAGGTGTCAGTTCTTCATTGAAAGGCTTTTTAAGGATTCTAGCACCAAAGTTAATTTCTAACATGAAATAATCCACACATTTTTTTTTCAATACGTCCATTTGGTCCAAAATTATTATTAGGAAACTACTGAATAATATGAGGGTATTATGAAGGTACCTCAAAAGTATGCACAAAGACAGTACAGCGGCAGTATCGACCGACGCACAGCAGAGGTCGATGTGAAAGCGTACTGTCTGAGTGCATACTTTGAGATATCTTCATAATAACCTTATTATTATACATCTTTCCAAGGATACATCATGGGAATGCCGAAATCCAAAAAGTTTAGAACAGAATCTGCGAACTTCTTTGTATGGAGTCCGGTCAAACCCTGGTGGCAGCAATGTTTGTTTTTATTATTAGAGGACACTTACGCGCGTAATCATTCCATATTTGGAATTCCCATTTCCTAATATGGTAGGATGAAAATACCCCGGAAAATTACGGCACGCTGTAACTTATGGCATTACGGTGACAGATGTATAATAATACATAAAATTATGCACCCTCTTAATCTTTTCACCACCAGTTCGTTCTTTTCATGACAAATTCACAAAATAGTCACACAAAAATTTCTGTTGGCTCCAAAAATAGAGTTCATTCCCAGGAATATTGAAGAATATAAGAAAAAAGTGCAGACAAATTTGGGTGAGAAAGTCTGGTGGTGAATGTGACAACTTGTTACATTTTACGAATTAAATCTACATTCTGTCTGTAAGCAGGGTCCAAAAATAAAAAGAAATTATTAAAAAATCTTTATGAATTTAGAAATGTTGCAGGCAAATTTAGTGGTTAAAATGTTTCAGTAAGTTTAGACAAAAAAAAAAATGTTGCTTCTTGTCATCCTGCGCATTTTCACATTTTTTTTTTTTATATTTTTCTGCATACTGGTGAAATGTTTATTTTCAGTTTCAGAGGATGGTTTATCGATTAAAGTCAGCCTATAATGCATGTATTCAAAAGCACTGTTTAATAAATGTTAAATACTAAAAATAAAACCTATAAATTCTTGTTGTGGTATTGAATAATAATAATACAAAAGAAAATTAAATCACTTTTTTTTCTTAACTACCGATATTAGCTTTGACACTATGCCGTGCAACATTTTTTCACAGAATCACTCAAAATTTTAACTCACTGAAGCTTGATCATAGAAAACTTTTGGGTTAATGTTGTATTAAGGTTAAAATGAAAAACAAAATAATTGCAAACTTTTCACACATGAGGGCGCTATTCTAAGAATAAAGGTAAAAATGCATACCTAACACACTGGGCTTGTCAATCAAATACAGGTGGCTCCCTCTCTAGTTCAAAGTGTAATGTAATTTTTGTTCTGAGTATCACATACTGAGCTCCTGAAATGGAAACAAGAAATGAATGAGGGTGGGACCATTATAAATTAGGGAGGGAGAATTTTAGGCATTAACAATTGAGAATTTTCTGAAAAAGAAAATCAACCCACAATCGACAAAAGTGTAGTCAGTCAATTATAGTTAAGCAGAGACTTTAAATTCACCAATCTGCCTTTCAAACCTCCTTTCACATATTAAATAGTTGATCCCTGTATAATCTTGTTTTTCCTATTTCAGTCACCAGATACCTATTTACCTTCACGGTTGAAATGGGTTGGATGTCAGGGAAGTCAGGATAGATACAGAGGGTATCCGTGCGGACTATGGATCCTGTTCCATACATTGACAGTGAGCGCTGCTACCACCAATAAAGACTGTAAGTATATTAAAAAATCAAAATAACACAAAAATTATATTTGCATGTATTTTATGCAAAGAGAGATAGTTAATTTCACAGTGTGTGTAATTTGAACTTATTTTAAAGTGGCCAACTAGTTTGATGCCGAGTTTACTGTATGCTGTAAAGCTGTGCAATTTATTTTCACTTGGAATTTATTTTTAGCTATATCGCTGAAGGAATAAATCAGTGAAAACATAATCAAGTGAAAATCCCCTTTTTTCCTATATTTTACATACATCCTATCAATATCAGTGAAAATAAACTTTATACAAACTAGCCAAAATGTCTTTTTAGTGAAAATTAATTCCAGCTAAAATATTTTACAGTATTTGATTCGTATAATGTCTTTATGTAAAATAGTTGCACAAACCTGTTATACAGGCCATTGTTTGTAAAATGCCTCACTTTGTCTTAATGTGATTAAAATTGTAACATATAATTGCAATCAATCAAGGCATGCAAATTTAGGTGTTAAAATTGGGTACTTTTAAAATAATGAAATTAAACCCTCAGTTGTCACCTGACACAAAAATAATTTGATATATTATAAGGTTATTACGAGAATACCTCAAAGTATGCACGAAGACAGTACAGCTGGAGTATCGACCGATGCGCAGCCATGGTGGCAGTCATGTTTGTTTTTATTATTAGAGGAAGCTTACACGCATAATCATATATGGAATTTGCATTTCCTAATATGGTAGGATAAAAATACCCTGTAAAATATGGCACGCTGTAACTTATGGCGTTACGGTGACAGATGTATAATAAATCATATTAAACTCAATCTACAAGTTATATTTCGTAGATGTGATGTAACGAATCATTTTCGATGCTCTAATGCTCCAACATATCCTGATCCTGACACACAGTTTGCAATTTCTCGTTTATTTTTCTCTTTTTTCCATATTTTGGATAATCATAGATACCTATGAGGAGAAATTACAAGTATTACATGCGATGAGGGGTTACATTGTACAATTCTTTGGATGCAGAGAGTGTGCGACAAACTTCGACAAGATGGCCGTAACTATCAAATCCACTGTGGCAACACCAGATGAGGCTCTTCTCTGGTTATGGCGGGCTCATAATCAAGCAAACAAACGACTTCACAACGACCCTTCCGAAGATCCAAAACACCCTAAAATTCAGTTTCCACCATCGGATCATTGTCCATCTTGTCGAGAGTACGCCGAGGACGAATGGAAACAAAATGAGGTACTGGGATTCTTAAAAGAGTATTATCATCAAAAAAACATCGCCCTCCAGCGACTGAGTAGAATTGCAGATCGACAAGTGGACGTTAGGCATAACCCCAAATTTTTGGATCGGGAATACCGACAGGAAATGCGTCAGGAGTTTATAAATGATAGACTAGAGACAGTGCAAGATCGGCATGTCAAGATGGGATTATGGGGATTAGGAATCAATGGCATGGACATGAGTATGTGTCTCCTACTTTACTCATTCTGTGTAGCATTAGTTCTGCTCTTGTATGTCATTTTCTGCAAAAGGAGACGGCGGAAGCATTTGAAGCATATCATCTAAGTTTTATTTTGTTTCTTATTTTGATTTAATTTATTTACTTATTAAACTGCTTTTAAAATGATCATTGTTTAAATACAAGTTAACGACAAATGATGACCCCTCTATTATTAACTATTTTGAATAATTTTCAAAATTATTCGTTGATATTGTAAATTTTGATGAATTGTAATTTTTTTTTATTTGGTCAATGTTAAATTTTGTTTCAAATGCTATAAGAATATGAATTGCTTTATTTATAGTTTTATTTGGATGTAGTTCAAAAAATTTACAATTTGCGTCATGTTTCAAAAACTTTTTTTTTTTAGATTTGAACCAGTTTGAGTATTATTCGGTGACTATTTTATTCTAAGATTTTGTAAGTTGATGAGTCATCGTCTTGGATATCAATGTATCTCTATAGTTATTTGACTGTAGAGAGCGCTGCATGGAATGGAATTAGACTTTTGGCTAACTTAATAGTTTCAGTAAATTACCTAAATTCATAGCTTGATCATTTTTTGAAATGATAATCTGTTTCTAATCATTTTTTTTTTACTTATGCTAGACAAACAAATTGTCATGTACTGTAATCTGCTTTTATATAATTTGCAGTGCAGTGACGGCTAATCTTGGGTTCTAAGGACACAAAGTCACAGTTACTTTCGCAAAATTGTTTTGCTTAAAAAATTCATTAAATCATAGACCCTCTAGAGGGTCTATGATTAAATATATAATTAATATAATTTAATGGTTTGGAAGTGGCTAATGCATGTAATTAGATGCTATGTTTTAGATAACACCATCGTTAACTGTATCATACTAATTGAACCAGTGTGTCAACTTAACTGCTTCACGATACGATGAATGAATAACTGAGCTAAATGGTAAAATTAATTGATGAATGTTTTGAATTAGTGATATTATGTTAACCCTGTCACATATGGTAATTCTTGGTTCTTGATTAGTGCTTCCGTACCCTATATGATTATGTTGAGTTTAAATTAAATTTGATGTGAAGAAATTGAACGAGTTACTGGTTCTTTCATTTCATTTCAAAAATACTCGCGTTACAGGATAATATTATCCTTGTTCCACTTCATCTGTGTTACATATAGTGAAATATTTATTCATAACCAATCACAGATAACCTTACATACTTTACTGGTTTATACATAACTGGTATTGTGATTGGTTACTATATAAAGTAAAGTTGTATGATATGAAAAGTCACAATATATGACACTCATACCACGCTCAGTGTGATGTACCACCAAGATTTTGATCTTGCAGTTATATCCAGTAATTATTTCTAAAACACATCCAAAATGGATTGTTATTCTGGTTATAAATGAGAAAATAAGAAATTTCATCAGATGCCATGATGTTGTTTATTATTACCAGTAAGTGTTGACATAAAAGAAATGTATAAAGAACACTTATCTGTGCAATACAACTTTTCTTTGATGTAACTGAAACTTGCATCGACAATAATATACAATATGAACTTTTATCCACAATTCGTTTGCCATGTTTGTCTTGTCATTTTTGTTGAGGTGAAAGGTAATTGGTTCCTGTACATATTAAATTAGCATTATCACTGGTAGGAATCTTTTGCGATGATAATTTAGGGATTGGTCAGTTACTTCGGCCTAGGGGGGGTCGGTGGATCAGTAGGGGGGGTTACCCAGTTTTTGGTTGTGCGAATAGGGGGGGTCACCCTGTTTTTGATATCATGTTTTCCACAATTCACACACGCGCTCATGCATATATTTTATAAAATGTTATTTCAGAACAAATGATAAAAAAGTTAATCGTACAAATGTGTTCTTAATAATAACTATTACCTATATTGCCTATAAATTTGTTGATGCAAAAAATGTTGTAGGCTAAATATTTTGAGGTTAAAGTTGCCAAATAACAACAGATTATGCAATGCGGCTAGAACCCCAATTATACAGTTAAGTTTTAAACACATCCCAAGTCCATGTGCTGCTGATATCAGATTATTTTATTTGAAGTCTGAAGTCACTATTGTATAAGATATTTACTGGATTTATCCAATTATAACAGGAGACGGAAAGACAACACAGCATTTAGTACAAAGAGCAGTGACAGTTTTTGTTCAGCAAATCAAAAATGTTAAATTTGTGAAAATGCTGATATATAAATTAAAATAAATGATGAAAAAATAAATAAATATTTTTTTTGTTTTTTTAACTTTTAAATATGCATATTTTGCTCTGTAAAATACCAAAATCCAACACAAACTTAAGCAAAAATCAAAGTTTCC